CTAGTAGCGATGCCCTTGTTACTAGTAGCTTTTTGTTCCTAGTAGTAAGGCCAGGAGCTACTAGTAGCGTCCTTGCTCCTAGTAGCAATGCCCTTGTTGCTAGTAGTTTCTTGTTCCTAGTAGTAAGGCAAGGAGCTACTAGTAGCATCCTTGCTCCTAGTAGCGATGCCCTTGCTCCTAGTAGCTTCTTTTTCCTAGTTATAAGGCCAGGAGCTCCTAGTAGCGACGCCCTTGCTACAGGTAGCTTCCCGTAAGGCCAGGAGTACTAGTAGCGCGCTACTAGTTACTAGAAGTAAGGCCAGGAGCTCCTAGTAGCTTCCTTGCTCCTAGTAGCGACGCCCTTGCTACTAATAGCTTCTTGCTACTAGTAGTATGGCCAGGATCTACTAGTAGCGTCCTTGCTCCTAGTAGCGATGCCCTGAGTCATGCTTCTAGTAGTAAGGCCAGGAGCTACTAGTAGCGTCCTTGCTGCGATGCCCTTTTTACTAGCTATAATCCTTGCCCTACTAGTAGCTTCTTGCTGCTTGTAGCGTCCTTGCTCCTAGTATGACTAGTGGCTTTTTGCTACTACTAGTAAGGCCAGGAGCTACTGGTAGCATCCTTGCTCCTAGTAGCCATGCCCTTGTTACTAGTAGCTTCTTGCTTCTTGCTACTACTAGTAAGGCCAGGAGCCAGTAGCGTCCTTGCTCCTAATAGCCATGCCCTTGTTGCTAGTATGTTACTAGTAGCTTCTTGCTACTACTAGTAAGGCCTGGCGCTACAAGTAGCGTCCTTGCTCCTAGTAGCCATGCCCTTGTTACTAGTAGCTTCTTGCTACTACTAGTAAGGCCAGGAGCTTCTAGTAGCGTCCTTGCTCCTAGCATGTCCTTGTTTTCTGCTAGTTTCTTGCTACTACTAGTATGGCCAAGTAGCATCCTCGCTCCTAGTAACCATGCCCTAGTTACCAGTAGCTTCTTGCTCCTAGTAGTAAGGCCAGGAGCTAGTAGTAGCGTCCTTGCTCCTAGTAGCCATGCCCTTGTTACTGGTAGCTTCTTGCTACTACTAGTAAGGCCAAGGGCTACCAGTAGCGTCCTTGCTCCTAGTAGCCATTGCTAGTGGCCTCTTGCTACAGTAGCGTCCTTGCTCCTAGTAGCCATGCCATTGTTACTAGCAGCTTCTTGCTCGTACTAGTTTGGCCAGGAGCTACTAGTAGCGTCCTTGCTCCTAGTAGCCATGCTCTTGTTACTAGTAGCTTCTTGCTTTGACTAGTAAGGCCAGGTGCTACTAGTAGCGTCCTTGGTCCTAGTAGCGATGCCCTTGATACCAGTAGCGTCTTGCTACTACTAGTAAGGCCAGGAGCTACTAGTAGCGTCCTTGCTCCTAGTAGCCATGCCCTTGTTACTAGTAGCTTCTTGCTACTACTAGTAAGGCCAGAAGCTACTAGTAGCGTCCTTGCTCCTAGTAGCGATGCCCTTGATACTAGTAGCTTTTTGCTACTACTAGTAAGGCCAGGAGCTACTAGTAGCGTTCTTGCTTCTAGTTTCCATGCGCTTGTTACTAGTAGCTTCTTGCTACTACTAGTAAGGCCAGGAGCTACTAGTAGAGTCCTTGGTACTAGTAGTTTCTTGCTACTAGTCATGCCCTTGTTGGTTATCGTTCATACGGCTGACCAGTTTCGTCCGGTTCGTTGCTCGAGGCCCAGCTATGGTGCTTTAGCCAGCTTCTTATCCACTGGCATCAAGCAGGATGGCCAACTCATCGGAGTCTTTTGCACACAGATGCCTCCAGAGTCCAAGCCGGTGCAAGTCACCGAAATGCAGCCTTTACTGGATAAAGCGGTGGATTGCATCACTACGGTGGTCAGTTCCTATTTGGCAGGCCGTTTTTGTCTGCGGTGCGCCGCTGGCGATGGTCGTTTTTGCAGTGTATGTTTCCGAGAATACTTTGCAGGCTATGGGACATGCACGACAGTGCTTGATGCAACCTCGTGGGAGATCATGCTGGAGGAGAGTTCTTTGCTAAGATGGAGGCTGCCTGGAGAAGTTAAAAGACCAGTGCTTGATGTTGGTTGTTTCCCACCTGCCAGGTAAGTGTTTTTTTTTTAAAGATTTTAACAAAAATTGTACTCCTTCCTCCATCCCCTTTGCTCCACCATCCTCTTTGCCATCCTCTGCATACCATAGAGAGAGCGTCCGGGCAAGCGCGGGCCCGCACTCTAATGGAGAGCTGCAGACCAGTCTGGGCATGCACGGACCTGCGCACTATAGAGAGCGCCAGCTCAGTATATGCCAGATAGAATGCCAGAGTGGATGCCAGAAGATAGAATGTCACAAACTATGACATAGAATGCCAGAAAAGATGTAGAAGATATTGCAGGTAGAATGCCGGAGGGCCAGAAGGCACACCAGACAGAACGCCAGAAAGGATGTCAGAAGCCATGCCAGATAGAATGCCAGAAAGGATGTCAGAAGAATTTGCGGGTAGAATGCCAGAAGTTCTGCCAGATATAGAGTGCCAAAGGATATCAGAAGATGTGCCAGTTCCGAGTTGGCTGGAATGCCAAAGGATATGCCACATAGAATGCTAGAAGATACCACAGAAAGGATTTCACAAAAGGGCCAGAAAGGATGCCAGAAGATATTCCAAATACACTTTCAGAATGGATGTCAGAAGATACGCAGGCTAGAATGCCACATAGAGTGCCAGAACAGAACGGATGTCAGATGATATGCTAGATAGAATGTCAGAAGATGTGCCAGTTTGAACGACAGATAGAAATGTCAGCCGGGATGCCAGAAGATATGCTAGATAAGGACATCAGAACATGCAGTCTGTCGGAGCAAGTGGGTTTGATGGCAGAACAAACTGTCGCAATGAACCGAAGTTGGATTATATTTCACAACAAGTGTGAGAACGCATGCCAGTTCGGTGCCAGAACACACGTGAGAAACACGCGCCGCAAGATGTGTCAGAGCAGGTGTCAAACTTCACGGCAGGGCAAATGTCAGAACATGTTGGAACAAGGGAATCAGAACACCTTCCAGGACACACTCCAGCCTTAGGATAGATGATGCGTCAAAAGAACAGATACTAGACTTGTATCAATGCACATGTCAGGCAGTGTTTGCCAGGATGGTCTGTCAATACACGTCCCCTTTTTTTTCTAAGTCACCCGGGATCACTCGAAGTGAAGTAAACTCTGTATTTTAGCAGAGGTTGAAAGATTTGCTGGTTTTCCCGTGATGTGTTTCATGTAGTGTATCTGTATTTTTATTTATGTATATAATAGATTTGTTTGGTTTTATTTGTCTCTTGAGGTTTTTCGTGACGAGCACCGAGTTTGCACTGCTGACACATGGATTCTCCCAGAATTGGCTCAACGCTTCTGCCATGGGCTTGGAAGAGTAGCTCGATAGATTCTGAGCAGGAAATTTCTGCCTTTTGTCATTGGATTGCGCCAGGTTCCCTTTTGACCAAACCTTTGATATCAAACACAGATTGCCCAGAGGATTTCAGGGTTGGTTGAATTACATAGGCCACGCAAATTGCGTTTTTGGTTAGTACTAACTATCAACCAAAAAATCTACAACAAAGGGCGACAACAGTTTGTCCCACGCGCCACAGGAATGAGACTTGTGTCCTATGAAGGCCGATAAGATAATAACAAATTCTTCTAAAGGTACAACAGTGTGAACATGTGAGTGATGGAGGAGTCCAATTGAGGAGACTCACGAAAGCTGCAAGGAGCTTCTTCAGAACTCCATTTTTGGGAACGAATGGACCATGCGGATGGACCTGATGAGAGCGAGAAAGCCGGAGGCGGTTTGTTTCAGCCGTTCCAAGCGGCCGAGGCACAAAGGTTTTCTGGTGATCGAAGCTTCAAAGTCCACCTTGGCGGACGCTCTTTGGGCCTTCAAGCTTGCCTGGGATGTGCCTCGGTTTTGGGACCCGTTTTCCGAAGCGGCCCCCATTTCCGCGCTGCTCTCCGACTCGCTCCCCGAATTGCTCAGAGTCTTCCTGGGACACGAACCCAACGCTTCTGAGGCCTTCCGAGAGACAGATGCAGAGAGACTTCTCAGTCTGCAAATTGCCTACATTTTGCTGAACCCCTTCCCCACAGGCTTGGTGCGAAACATTCAAAACAAGGACAGACGAACGCACGGACAGTCCGAACACACATGCTCAAATGCCGCTTGCGCGGTGTGACCAAGTGCCCGGTGGATTGTGACCGTTCTCAAGTCTTTGCAAACTGGTGCAAGCTTGGCAGATGGCCTCCAACCTAATAGCGATGGCCTCCAACCCAATAGCGATGTCCTCCAACCCAATAGCAACGGCCTCCGACCTAATAGCAATG